CTCCCAGAATTCCCCAGCCAGCGAATGCTGGCTGGGGAATTCTGGGAGTTGAAGTCCAGACATCTTCAAGTTGCCAAGGTTGAGAAACACTGCATAAATGGCTCGAAAAGATGCTAGGAAAACATGTAGATTTTAAACCTGAACTTTTTCTATTAGGTACAACACCAGAAAAAATTGATAAACGAAGTATATATTTAATATTGCACATACTAGCAGCAGCGAGCGATTATATCTGCACAATATTGGAAAAATGAAGAAGTACCACGAGACGAAGAGATCATTAGGAAGACACTGGATTGTGCAGAAATGGACAGACTTACGCTGAAGATTAAAGAGAAAGGAGATACAGAATATTATCTAACATGGCACTTATTCTACCACTAGTTGGGAAAAATGGGGTGGAGAATAAGAATGAAATCTATATTGCTAAGCAGATGAAATAAGCCAGACAACATGAGGTATATTAAGCCCTAACAAAATGTAAATTAATACATCTTTTTTAAAAAAATGTGACTGACGTTGAGTTGTCCTTTGGTCCTTCGCGCTCACAGGTGTGGGGGATGCTCCATGGAAATGAGAAGCCACACCATGTCCTACCTCACCTCCCATGTCCAGCCGGTCCACCAGCCCTACCTCACCCTGTGCCCGGGAAACAGGCTCTGCAGTACATACAGGCAAGAGAACGGAGGGAAACCAGGGGCTACTCTCTTGACCCTCCAATACCCTGGAGCGGGGAGTTCCAGAGGTTCATTGCATGCCATTGAAGGCCTCGGCAAGTTCCAACTACAACCCATGACAGATTGTTACAAAGACGTAAGTGGAAGTTGCCGTAGCCTCCAATGGCATGCAGGGAACCTCTGGAACTCCCTGCTACAGCGTGTGGGAGGGTCAAGGTAGAAAGGCAATGCATCTACTCTTGCATTCTCCTTTTCGTCTGGATTTATTCCCTGCTGAGTGCTGATCGAAATGTCAGCTTTAATATGTGTAGATTTCAACTCTTAACTTGAATAGAATAAACAGAGTTAGAAGGGACCTTGGAGGTCTTCTAGTCCAATCCCCTGCCTAGGCAGGAAGCCCTACACCACTTCAGACAAAGGGTTATCCAACACCTTCTTAAAAACTTGCATTGTTGGAGCATTTTAAAACTTCTGGAGGCAATTTCTGTTCCACTGATTAATTGTTCTNGTTACCATGGCAACTCCACTGTGCTGTACAGTAGAAGCCATTTTATGGCAGTATTGTAGAAGCCATTTTAAGGCACAACAGGCTGTATTTTAACAGAACACACCCCCTGAGAGGTTTTAGGGGTGTCTTAACCCCACAGTATTTGTTTCCAGAGAGTAAGTCATCTGTGTACCAAGTTGATATTGCTGGAGGTGTTCCAAAGTTATGCTGGAACTCAGAGGGAGGGAGGGAGGGAGGAGGTTGCTATATAATTTATCTAAAATAAATGAGGATCCAGATTGTTGGGGGCAAAATGCTGATTCTGTAAACCCCTTGGAGAGGGCTGTAAAAGCACTGTGAAGTCTAAATGCTATTGCTAAAATAAATAGATGATGAAAACGCCAAGGACCCTTCATTTCAACCTTGAAATGAAATATTCTCCCCTCTCTTGATAAAGGATGCAATTTTGTCAAAGGGTGGATAGGTAGGATTCTGCCTTGGGCTGCATTCCAGCACAGAATTAGAAGCCCTCAGAAATGGTATAGTAGGGTGGGGGGGGGGTCAGTCAAGATGATCTACAAGGTCCCTTCCCACTCTGTTAATCTGTAAAATCTGGGCTAAAGCTTTCAAAAACAGACTGGGCTGCCCTCTGTCGGAAATGGTGTAGGGTCTCCTGCTTGGGTGGAGGGGAGGTCAGACTAGATGACCTACAAGGTCCCTTCCAACTCTGTTAAAAACCAGCTCACTGATCTAGGTGGACTTGACTTCTGAGGAGAGCAGAAGGACCCCTGGCCAAGAGGAGAGGTTTCTGGCTGCAGGCATCCCTTTTCTTTCTGGTTCATGTGGCATCGGTGGCTGGTTGTGTGGGATCTCATTCTTTAAAAGCTCATTTTTCCTCTTTCGGGGGCTCCCGGGGCCTGCGCTTCATCTAATTTTAAATAAAATGTGTGGTGAGTTGAATTATTGCTCTGGATTCCAAGCAAAACCAAACAGAAAAGATTCGAATACTTGCTTATCTTTTCCTCCGCTATTGTTAGCTACAACTACTAATAGCTTGCAGATGTTTGGAATGGCATTGTTTCATTAAAAAAATTGTGTGTGTATATGTGTGTGTGTGTGTGTGTGTGTGTGTGTGTGTGTGTGTGTAATAAGCCTCCTGTTAGAATGTACTGATTCAGTGCTTAAATATGTGGTTGTTATTTGAGAACGGGTTTCCAAATATTTGGGGTTCGGTGCTGGCAGTTCAAAATCGCTTCCAAAACTGCCTCCAATTTTTAGCAGGAAGGGCAAAAAACAGAATTGCCGTGAAAACAGGAGTCGTTGCTGGAGGGGGCGGCCGATGTCTGGATGTCTGCAGGACATCTGCCTGTCTTTCCTCATCTTTGTATAAACCCTTAACGGATTTCAGATTAACAGAGTTTAAAGGGACATGGTAGGTCATCTAGTCCAACCCCCTGCTCAAGCAGGAGACCCTACGCCATTTCTGACAGGTGGCAGTCCAGTCTCTTCTTGAAAGCCTCCAGGGATGAAGCTCCCACAACTTCCGAAGGCAACTTCCGATCCATGGGTTGATTGTTCTCACTGTGAGAAAATTTCTCCTTATTTCCAGGTTGAATCTCTCCTTGGTCAGTTTCCATCCATTCTTCCTTGTCTGGCCTTTGGGTGCTTTGGAGGATAGCTTGACCCCCTCCTCTCTGTGGCAACCCCTCAAGTATTGGAAGATGCTCTCCTGTCTCCCCTGGTCCTCCTCTTCCCTAGACCAGCCATGCCCAGTTCCTGCAACCGTTTATCGTATGTTTGAGCCTCCAGTCCCTTCATCATCCTGGTTGCTCTTCTCTGCACTCTTTCTAGGGTCTCAACATGTTTTTTGATAATGTGGTGACCAAAACTGTATGCAGGATTCTAGGTGTGATCTTACTAAGACTTTATAGAGTGGTAGTACTACCTCCCTTGATGCAATTTAGGATTGCATTGGCTTTTTTGGATGCCACCGCACACTGCTGGCTCCTATTTAGCTGGTTGTCCACTAAGACTCCAAGATCCCTCTCATAGTCACTGCTATTAAGCCTGGTTTCACCCAGTCTACATGTGTCCTTTTGGTTATTTTTACCTAAGTGTAGGACTTTATTTTTCTCTTTTAATACATGATTTCCTGTGATGGCATTGAGATCCTGTATATGCAGTCATGAGCCAAATCTTAGGATTCACACTCAGACACTATTGTGGTTGCTATTAAAAATTCTGAGTTACAATTTTTCTTCATTAAATCATAATTCTAATTTTTTGGCTGCTTTTACACTTGGGAATTTCAAGCCAGGCAAGGAAAAAAAATCATTGTGCAAAATTAAAACTTGCATTTTTGGCAAGATTCCTCACATGCAAATGCCTGGGAATTACACAACCTCTTCACATTCTCTCCAAATTGTAAATATTTGCAAAGTGCAATACGTTTATAGTTAAAAATTAAGAGAAATTAGGCTGCTCATTTCCAAAAAAACCAGCATGATTAATTGCTGGTTTTATTTTTTTTTCTTTTTGATGATAATTTGATGAAGCTTTTTTGTTTTCATTCAAACTTGTTTTGTTCTTTCTGCTTTCAGTCTAGCTTGCTGAACTGACCTCTGTTGCAGCTGTTCGTGGGAACCCTCCATCCTTCAGGTGATGATGTTGCAGTAGTGAAAAGACCCAGCAAAGGAGAAAGGATGAGAAGGGAGGACTGGCTGTGGACCATGGGGCTTGCCTTGGTCCTGGCAGCCACCAGCGTCGAGAGTTTCTCAAGTCCCAGGTGAGTCCTTGCCCTCATCCAGTGAAGAGGCACCACTGGCTAAATTGCAGCAAAAACTTTCAAAGTTTTCTGCAAAACTAACAGAGGGCAAACTTGGGTGGTCCAAAGATGCCCCCCACCCCACCCCAGGAGATGGGGAGAGCAAAGGGGATCTCTTCTGCTGCTTCCAGCCATAGTGGCACAGTGGCTAGAACGCAGTACTGCAGGCTCCTTCTGCTGACTGCCGGCTACCTAAAATTTGTCAATTCAAATCACCCCAGGTCAAGCTTGACTCAGCCTTCCCTCCTTCCGAGGTGGGTAAAATGAGGATCCAGATTGTTGGGACACTATGAAGCGGTATAGAAGTCTAAGAGTTATTGCTACTGTATCTATCTCTATATGTTATCTGTCAGTCTGTCATCTCTATCTCTATCTCTATCTCTATCTCTATCTCATCTATATCTATATCTATATCTATATCTATATCTATATCTATATCTACATCTTNCCCAGTTCCTGCAACCGTTCTTCATATGTTTTAACCCCCAATCCCCTCATCATCTTTGTTGCTCTTCTCTGCACTCTTTCTAGAGTCTCAGCATCTTTTCTACATCGTGGCGATCAATTTGGGTTTGGCTAGTCTAAAGAGAAGAAGAATTAGGGATGAGATGTTAACACTGTTCCAATATTTGAGGGGCTGCCCCAAAGAAGGGCAGGACTTATTCTCCAAAGCAGCAGAAGGCAGGACAAGAAACAATGGATGGAAACTAATCAAGGCGCGAAGCAACCTGGATTTAAGGAGAAACTTCCCAACAGTGAGGACAATTAACCAGTGGAACAGCTTCCCTCCAGAAATCGTGGGCCTCCGTCACTGGAGGTTTTTAAGAAGAGACTAAATAGTCACTTATCTAACATGATATAGGTTCTCCTGCTTGAGCAGGGGCTGGACTAGAAGACCTCCAAGGTCCCTTCCAGCTCTATTCTAATTTTAATGTTATTCTTAATTGCAAACATTCCAAAAATGTTGAGAGTCAGGCAGTTTATTTATGTATACATAAGTATTTTGGGGCCGGAGAGCTGGCCCTTTCCGGTCGTCTTTTCTGCTCAAAATATCCATCAAGTTCACATTTTGTATTCTGTGGTTTTGCAGAACAACCTATAAAGTTGGACATCGCCAGGCTTATCGGAAAGTTTCCCACCCAGAATACGTTTGCGGCCCTGAATGGAAGCGGAGAAATGCTTTCTCCCCGCTCGGATGTCCCACAGGTACCTGTTTTTGTTATGTTGAAGCATTAACCAAAAATCCCTTTGGGCTCTTAGAGGAGGGTTACCTGGTGAGAGTTTATACAGGGGTGGGATTGAACAATGTTAGCAACCGGTTCTCTGCCCAGTTGCTGGGTGGGCGTGGCCATGGTGGGTATGACCTACTTGGCCTCCTGCACCACAGCGGGGAGGGGGAGGGGTTGTGTTTTCGCCCTCCCCAGGCTTTGAAGCAATTGTGAAATCTAATTTTTTTTGCCACCGGTTCTGTGATCATGTGACAGTGGGTGTGGCCAACTTTTTTTCACCTTAAGGGGCAGGGAAAATGCTTTAAAAAGTGGTGGTGGGGGGGAAGGTTCCCATGATCACACTCATCCGCTGTGAGCTGCGCGATCCTCAAACCCTCTTTATTTCACTTTTAAAAGCATTTTTTCCTACCTATTCACCCAAACTGCAGGAAAGAAATGCTTTAAAAAGCGGGGGGACGGGGACGGAGGGAACAACAGGTCCCAATAATTGCACCCACTCACAGCTGATCCACAGTGGGAACCTCCCCCCCTACTTTTTAAAGCATTTTTTTACCTCCAGTTCTGCCGAAGGGGTAGTAAAATGCTTTAAAAAGTGGGGGAAAAGGTTCTGTGACACTCAGCTGATTTATGCAATCGTCAGAACAATTTTTCCCCACTTTTTAAAGCTTTTTTTATTACCGGTTTGGGCGAACCTTAGCATTTTTTGCTACCGGTTCTACTGAAGCAGTCAGAACTGGTAGCATTTCACCCCTGCTCCGGAGGTTTTCTTTGAGCCTCCGGGAGGGCGAAAACAGCCTCCCTCGGGCTCTGGAGGCCCTCCGGAGATCGGAAACAGGCCTGCTTCCGGACGGTTGGGAGGCCCGTTTTTCGCTTTCCCAGAGCCTCCGAACGGGTCCTGCGCTTACCTGGCATTATGAATGGACCGCATGGAGACTCCTGGGAGGGGAGGGGAGGGATAGGAAGGACCACCCAGTTCTTGCAGCTACCGGTTCGGCAAATCAGATTTAAAATTAACATCTGGTTTGCCCGAACCTGTGCAAACCAGCTGAATCCCACCCCTGGTTTTATATATATGTGTGTGTGAAGGAAGACTGATGCTGAAGGAACTCAGTTTATTTGATGCAAAGAGAAGCTCTTTTCCCCTCAAAACTGCATATCAGGTGACTTGGAAACCACTTCTGGACTTTCTGCTCAAAAGAGATACAAATGAAATTCCGAGTTTAAGTTTTTAGGTGGTTGTTATAGAAAAAGTTAGGACTTAACTATTTTTGTAGAAGGAAAAAGGTGCTATAATTCTACTATGCACTGAAAAAAGTTGGAAGTCCCTGTCTTTTTTTTCTTTCTTTCTTCTTCCCTCATTCTATCCCCCTCTTTCCCCCCCTTCATCTTTTTTTCTTGTCTTCATTTTTGTTTGTTTTTTATGTTAAGAAAAACATTTAATGAAAATTATCAAAAGAGCTGCGTGTCAGGCACCAGAATCTTTGAAAACCTAATTACAACTTTACAACCAAAGTCTGTAGAGATTCTCAATCATCCAGGTTGTGATTGTCCTAAAGGTGCTTTTTCAGGAGGCAATTGGAGTTTCTTCTTCTTTTTTCCTTTTGAAGAGGTTTCGCTACTCATCCAAGAAGCTTCTTCAGCTCTGACTGGATGGTGGGGAATGGAAGGATTTATACTCCTTGCAGACAGCTGGTCCTTGGCATCCTTTTAGAGGGTCCTTAAGGGACACCATGGCTCAGTGGCTCAAACACTGAGCTTGTCAATCAGAAAGGTCGGAAGTTTGGCGGTTCGAATCTCTAGCGCCGTGTAATGGAATGAGCTCCCGTGACTTGTCCCAGCTTCTGCCAACCTAGCAGTTTGAAAACATGTAAAAAGCAAGTAGAAAAATAGGGACCACCTTTGGTGGGAAGGGAAGAGCGTTCCGTGCACCTTTAGCGTTTTGTCATGCCAGCCACATGACCACGGAGACGTCTTTGGATAGCGCTGGCTCTTCGGCTTTGAAACGGAGATGAGCACCGCCCCCTAGAGTCGGAAATGACTAGCACATATGTGTGAGGGGAACCTTTACCTTTACCTTAGAGGGTCCTTGAAGCACTTGGCGGTTTATCTGTGTCTTCAGGGTCACCTGAGTAGCGCAAATGATACCTGTAGTCTGCAATTTTTTATTCTGGAAATCCCCACTGTCCTGTCAGAGCTGAAGAAGCTTCTTGGAGGAGAAGCGAAATGTCTTCAAAAGAAAAAAAAACAAGAAATGCCAGTTGCCTCCTGAAAAAGCACCTTGGGGACAACTTTTCAACTGGGTTAATTCCACAGGCAGCTGACCTGGGATCAGTCAAACCCAGCTACTCTCTTCTGATAACAGGCCATGCCTGAGAAAAGGCAGATAATGGTAGGGTGGATAGCCTTGATCATCCCACTTCCCCCCGTCTGAATGCAAGCGGGGATCCCCTCCGCCTTCTCTTTGTTTTTGGCTCTCTGGTCCCCGAGTTTCCACCTGCTCTTGTATGAAACCACCCCACACGTTGACTGATTTACGAGCAGCCGGTCTGCAGGAAGGAGAGACCGCCAGGATGCAAACCTAACCGGTGTGTTTGTTTCACCGCAGCTGCTATTTGCCGCCCACCGTGCCCACCCAGCCGGAAATGTTCGCTCCCAAATGACTGCGCCTGCCCTGGATGGACCGGGAGGTGTTGCCAGACAGGTAAAAGTGTTTGGATGCTGTCAGGTGTTTCCTCTGCAGGAGAAGCTGCAGCTCAGGGAAAGATGCTGTGCTCCGAAAGCTCAGATTAAAGGAAAAGGGATTCGTGCAAGCAAAGGGCCCCTTCTGGGATATGCCATTCCAGACTCCCATGTGGCTGCAGGAGGTTTTAGAGACCATTTAGTCCAGCCTTGGCCACTTTAAGAATTGGGGACTTCAACTCCCAGAGTTCCTCAGCCAGCAAATTCTGGGAGCTCCACAAGTCTTAAAGATGCCAAGGTTGGTGACTCCTGATCTAGTCCATCTCCCTGAGGGGATAGACATCTCCTGAGAATGTCTCCCTTCCCAAAGGGAGACATTTCCTAACCCTAGGAAATTCTTCTTGATGCCCAACAAAAGTCTCTTCTTGCAAGAGCAGTGAGGAAAATAAAGCAGGTGTTCCTTTGGCTAGCAGACAGAAGAGGCCTTGTAGGTTTTTGTGTTGTTGTTGTTAGTCACGAAGTCATGAGACCTCATGACTTCGACCCATCGCAACGCCATGGACAACCTTCCTTCAGGCCTTCCTGTCCTCTACCATCCTCCGGAGTCCATTGAAGCTCACACCTGTTGCTTCGGTGACTCCATCCAGCCACCTCCTTCTC